CCCCATGTGACTGTGACCAGGGTGTTCTGGCAACAGAGGCAACTGATTTAACACATTGACAGGAGAAGAGCTGGAAAGATGCTGTCGGGAGACAGAACTCTGAATCACTTCGGAAGATGTTGCAGGAGGCACGGATGCCGAGGCAAGAGGGATAGAACCTGGTGCTGTCCTGGAGCCTTGCATGGTGTGCAGAGGTAAGGTAGTGAGAGGTCTGGTTGAGGGACTGTCATGGACTGACTGAGAGGGTGAATTGAGCCCCTCTAGGGGTGGTGATACAGAGGCAACAGCTCGACCAGAGTCAACAGCTGACGCGGTGAACAAGGACTCATGCTGGATCATGTCTGCAGGCTTACCGCCAGCAGAGGGCATTGCATGTGTTGATAGCAACATGCCAGGAGATAACCCTCCCAATGGTGAAACTATCGAAGCACCTGATGCATCACATATTGATACGTTTGAGTTTCTAGCTGGTGTGAGAGGGAGCTTGGAGCCTTGAACCATTTGTTGAAGAGATGAGATGGGTGTAGAACCAGAGTAAGAAGATGTGGACACTATGGCAGGTGCCAAGACAGCTGTTATTGGTCCAGAAACTGAATGATGCACCCGAGACTCAGATGAAGGAGAGGAAGTAACCCAAGGAGATCCACAAACACCATCAGTCAAGCCTGGAGGTGGACAAAACTTCAGATGTGTTGCGGGTGAAGAGGAAGAAGAGGAGCCCACCAGCAGATTTTTGGATCCATGAAGTGTTAGCTCAGTAGCAGGAGGAGGAAAAGGAGGTGAAGAATGCCTGGGAGAAGGAACTGATGATGACTGGGGAGGAGTACATTTGACATCTGGGAAAGAACCATTACTGGATGGAGGGGAAGCTATGGGAGATTCAACAGCAGGAGCACCAGACACCTTATTCAGAGACGTTGTGGAAGATAATGAAGCAGTGAGTGTCGTTTGAGGAGGTGTGCTTGCTCCAGACCCTCTGATGTCATCTGGTGGTTGGGGCGTTGGCTTTTCAGAATTTTCATGATGATCAATTGTATGTCTGACAGAAGCTGAGGAAGAGTCAGGAGGCCTAAGAGCAACAACTGTCTCCTCTGTGCAATTACTGTTTGTGTTTGCCTCCTTGTCTTCCTCCCTCATACGCACTAAGAAAAAAGACCAGAGCAAACAAAAATACGGACGTTGTATTTATATACATATTGAATTATCTATCTATGTAGCTATAGACAGCCAATACACAACCCCATAATTAACACTACCTACTTCCCCTAACCACCCACCCTCTCTCTAAAATAATACAATATAGTATAAAAAGCCTCACAAACTCTTATAACTGGGATGTGGAATTAGTTAGAATTGAACAATCGTTGAAATTTCATCGGACCATAACAAAATCTTCCACACATATGTGTGGGGAAAATGTGTTACGATCTGTTGAAATCATAGCTGAATCATAGCTATTATTTTTATAACTCCAACAGGTATGTTTATCGCAATCAACACTCATAACTAAATGAACATGAAGGTGACAGTGACGCATGGTTGGTGGCAGCATCATGCTTTGGGGCAGTTTCTCTTCAGCGGGACCAGAGGCCCACCTTATACTAGGTTTATTATTACATCAGTTCAAAATAAGAGTCAGTGTTTATAAAAAAAATAAAAAATAAAAAAAAACATTCCAACTTCTGCTCGTCAGCGAAAAAAAAAAAAAAAGACAGAAAAGCATGCAAGAAAATCTGACCGTTATTTGGTTGTGAATCAGCAGCACTTGAAATGGTGGCAGCTCTTTTTTGACTTCAATTTAACATTAGTTTGAATGCAGTTGCTCACATCCCAGTTATTTTTACCTCACTTCTCTAAAAGTTCCATTTTTTCCCAGTTGAGATGTAAATGTTAATAGGTCACAATGTTGGTGGAAAATGTGTTGAAATGATTTGTCTTGTCTCATATTTATAGCACAAAAACCTGACATTTGAACAGGGGTGTGTAGACTTTTTACATCCACTGCAACTGCGTCGAGAGCTCACCTTGCATGGAAGTAGAGATGCTGCTAGCCTGTGGGGGCTTTTCTCTACTCATGGGAGATCGTTCGTCCGGCACGGCCGTTGATGACGTCACTGCTCTCGTGTGTGCCCCCTCTGTGTCATGTGCGGGTGCAAAATTCTGCATCCTCTGACCCGTAGACTGTTTTGGGTGCTGGGCAGATGGCAGAGATGTGTGGTGCTGCTGGTAGTATGGCATCCCATTTGACATCACGCCATAATGCTGCGGGAGGTGAAGCGGTGACCGCAGATGGGAATGGAGGTGCTGCTGCGATGATGGAGGGGACTGACTCTCAAATGTCCCATACATGCTGCGGGAAGTGTAAGCAGCAGCCTGTGGGGTAGGGTTACTTCTGTTCCAGAACTGACTGCTAGTTGGGGGCATGTTTGATGGGCCTGCCACTGGTGACTGCTGGGAGCCCTCCATATCCCCATTGAGTTGGTACGATCCTTGAGCCTGGAAGTGATGTTGTGACTGAGGTTGCACCATGTTTGGTGACGGCTGCTTCTGGTGCAGGCTGTGCCCAGGAGACGTGGCTATGGTTGGGCTGTACTGAGGATGCCCTCCCCACAGGTAGCCCATGCTGCTCTGGTGGTGGTTGCTGATATGTGGGTAAGGACTGGAAGGTGGTTGGGAGGCAGGTGCACTCGAGCCAAGTACAGTAGTGATGCCATTCACATTCATTTCGCCATTCATATCTGTTAAGTACAGGAAACATTTGCAGTTAGACTTTGCAAATTAAAAAACTACTTTCATGGTCACCTTGATGGATGATAAAATCTTGAGGGATACTCACTCTTTCCTTGCTGAGAAAAACTCATGGAGGAACCATTAGTATAAAGAGAATCCCCTGAGGAGAGTTTCAGTCCTGAGTTTGCTGAGGAATGAGCGCCATAGTTGAAATGATTATTTGCCTCCATCTATTGAAAGAAACGAACAATCAAACACATTAATACCCTCGTATGAAGCGGGTATTACGCTTTTAGTATACAAAACAATCAGCACACGTGCATCACCATTTTCCTTACTGTACTGTTATTTAATTTTATTCCACACACAGTTGGCACGTATTTACTGCCGTATAAAGTTGTAAAGTGTCGCCTCTAGTCAGCACCATTTTGCTCCTAACAACTAGCGTCAAAATGTCGCAGCCAGCTACGGCGAGGAGCAGATGCCGTCGAGGCCCAACCATACGCAAGGCAAAAGCTGACTAAACCCACACAAGAGGCTCGTCATTTCGGCTGATGAGACGCTAAACCTGTACATAACCTCCGTGATAAATACTAACATAAGACCCTACTTTGTCCAATTAATAAAGTGATCAGTTCGACTGATCACTTTATGAAGAGGCCCGATTTATGTCCCTCGCACAAACCCAAGTCAGCCTCTAAATACTTGATTTCCGAATTCTACGAGGCCATGACGAGCCCCGTGTTAGCACAGCGGCGCTAGCTTCATTCTCACGACAACAATTCACACCAGAGCGACCCTCGTCTGGTTTCAGACGTGGTACATGTTGAGTTCAAGCCGACAAGACAGCGGATATTGTGGTTCCATTCACACCAGAGACAAACACTACCCTCTCAGTTCCAAGGTTGTTGAGCGAGATCATCACAATGGAAACTAGCGAGTAAATGCTAGTCAAATAAGCTAACAGATAGCATCCTTTGGTTAGTCACCAGGGATTTCTTCGATGTTAGCCAACAGTCCGGCTGCGGGTCCGGCGAATCCACGACCACGCTGTTTTGTATCCACGATGACTGCCAGTAATATGCGTGTACACATTGTAAGCATAATGCAAGGGTTATCGTTAGAGGCGAACGGTCCAGTAACTCGCCTCTTAACAGCTGGGTCCGCGATGCCGCTTTTGTTCGTTGGCTAACGTTAGCTAGCAGCCTGATGAAGTTACATTGTTTACGCCGAACGCACACGGGCAATTTTCACAGAGCGTCATCCTCCCACACTGCGCTTTCTCAACTTGTATTGTGATCGCAAGCGGAACTAGCAAACCTTTCATTCCGCGGATCTGGGAGGCACGGGTGTCTCTACCCCGCGTCGCAGCTGGTATTGAAGAGAGGATGGAACCGCGATGGATAATAAACAAATCTTCCCTAACCTTTGGAGTTTAAATTAGCAAAAAAGGCTAGTACGATCCCGTGCAGCCATGATTACATGGAGCGGGCACTAGCCGCGTAAGCTTTTCCCTAATGATCGCACACATCCGGTCAAATTACGCCATCGCTTCAAAGTAAAAGGCCTTGTGACGTTTAAACAGCAGTTATGTCGTCGCTCCCCTTTGACACGTTTCTAAAAGCAGTAAGAGCAAATTATCTATAGAGCGTTGAAAAACACGAATGAATTATCGAGTACGTGTTATAGAGTCAACCCAATTACATTATCGTCAATGAACAGTAGTTGTAATTTTTGTTGGGACTTAACGGGCGTAGAACTTGCAAATACTGTACGCACCTAAATTGTAAAGTAGTTAAGCATCAACATAGGAAATCGGTGTATTGTACGTATTTGATTTTGTTGCGACGGGCCAGGGGAAATCAAGCCCAAGAGAAAGCTTATTGTTGACGAAGTTTCTGTGTTTAAAAAGTTAAAACTAATTATCAACTACCCGCGACTGATTAAAGTATAAAGTGCTATCAAAGAGAAGTTTATAAAGCCCTGACGTCAGCTTCGGAATTCTCATTTTTGAGGAGGGTTCCAACTTTTTGCAGGACGTCACTATAGCGATTTGTGCACCTAATTTGTTGGTTAAGTTTTCATTATCCCGGACGCATGGTGAACCTGTATCATTTTAGCTTTAAGATAACCTTTATTTGTCCTACACTGGGGAAATTTGCAATTTAGCACATATGCACAACAGTTTGAACTAACCATCCAAGGTTTTAAGTTCCCCGACCCACCTAGTTAGTCAAAACAGGTTTTTAGTTGACCAAGAGAGCATCCAAGATTTCTTAAACAGTTTATTAGAAATATGTAGACAAAAAAATGAACGTCCATTGTAAAGCAACATCATGTCTCCCCAAACATTTTGTTGACAGTGCAAATAGAATTTGGTCATTACACATCACTGCATCTCTCCAACAAAGTTCTGTTCTCGATTTTGTGTGTGTCTGTGTGTGTAGAACCCAGAGATGTGATCCTGAAGCACAACCAAGCTTCAAGCCTGCGCTGCAAATAATTTCAACTTAATCCTGCAGGCTGAGTGCATGTTGGAGAGAGGAACAGTTAAGATATTCAAATGAGTGAACTCCATTTACAATACTCGATTAGATGGTCATTGGACAGATGAAACATGTTTGCCATGACTTCAAATAAACAAAGGGAAACATGTAAGCAGGAAATTGAAGTTACAGAAACAACAGACCGGCTTCATGGTCATCTAATTCACGACACATGGAAGGCAGTTTAGAGGGACCCCGACAAATTGTTTTTATTTTATTATTATTTTTAACAGAGGAAACTACACTATTTACCCAACTTATAACCACAACATTTGACAAAGATTTTACTAATCATAAACCACAATTCTGTTGTAGTCAATCTGATCAACACATATTGCTCAATTGAGGACAAGCTTTTCCATCGATTAAGGTGTGCTTCGTTGGTCATTTAACAGTAAAGCAAGATACCTGACGTGCAGTACAGCAAATGGAAGTGGAGATAGCTGCTCTGTACATTACCATGCATGTCAACCTTCACAGGAGCATCGAGCAGAGGCTATGCATTTAAATATGGCTGCCAACCCAGTACGTTAGTCCGCCCCCCCCCCCATGCCTTTAAAAAGGTGTAAAAGTGTCAATTTCATTCGTTTCCTTTGTCTGCCGATCTTTTCCTTTCCTTCCAGAGTATCAGGCCCTCTATTCCAAGTCTGGCATTTCTGAAAGTAGGGAGAAATACAATTAGACTTTCCGTGTCACAGGCTCCCATCAGTAAGTGACTCAGAATTTAATGATACATGGAAAATGACTGACTTTCATCGTCGCTGTCTGCAGACTCATCCTGGAAAAAGAAAATGTGGTTAGAAAAAAAAAATCAAGTAAAACATGGAATGATGGACGTCAATCTCGTGGCTGAAGCTGGTTTAAACAAAAATGATTCTTACATCGTCACCATCGAGATCAGGTTGGAAATCATCACCTCCCATGTTATTCATCATCTGTGACATGAAAGTGAAAAAGTCACAAAACTCATCTTCACTCCCCCCTTATGTTGAGACCTTCACAAGGCATATGAAGATTTACAATATACCAAGGACAACGTTCCATTAGTTTGTCTGCACCTATTTAAATGTCACTCATTAGGTGAAACCTTAGAAATACATCCCTGAAAAAAAAAGTCTATTATCAGCCACTGAATGCGTTGAATTAAAGATCGCACCAAGTAAAACCCTCAAAATCACTACTGTAGGTGAACCTTCTAAATCAAAAGCAGTCAGTTCCATGATTCTGGGTGACTTCAAAGTCATTCTACATTTTAAACCAACTACTGCAACCTATCACACAATTTAACGGAAATGTATTTTGTCCGGGAAAAAAGCAGATACCCCCACAAAACATTAAAAATGTCCAACATATTTTAAGAAGTGTGTATTAAAAAATCGAATAAAATATATTAACTAGGGGTGTGACAAAAGAGCCATTTGAATCAGAAAATTGGTTTCAATTTAAAAGATGTGAGTGCATGGAATCGAACCTAACCATTCTACTTCAATATCTATCAAGAAATGTGAAGGTTTACGGAGTAATACTGACACCTAGTGACAATTTCACAAATCTCTAATTCAGGGGTGCCCAACCTTTTTTGACCTAAGATCTACTTTTCAAGCAGCCAATATCCCCCAATCGACCCGTTAACACACATCCACCCAGGCACACGTGCGCACGCATTAAACAGAAAAATTAAGTAGATACAAGAATTTGTGAAAAGGAAATCACCGCCTGGCTTAGTAGAGACCTGGTGCCGAGGCATGGGATGCACTTTTGCAGCATATTAACTGCATGAACATCACTAACATAGCTCATGTGTATCGTTTTAAAATGCTTCTCCTTGCACTCCAAATTCTTTTTTTGTGAAACTGAAACTGATTAACTGATTCGAGTACAGTGTACACTAACACAAAAGTATATATTTTTAACACGCACACAGATCTTTACACCCCCCACCCCTTCCCTCGCCATCAATTTGGGACCAGTTTGCAGGCTACCAGTCAATCGCAATCGACTGTTTGGGCACCCCTGCTCTAACTGTACACAATTGCCTCTGTCGTACAGGTAGAGCTCAAGCTCATCCTCATACTTTTCTGCATGCCATCACTGGTGCTCTTCAGTGGTGGCATCACCAACATTTCATTTCAGCGCAAACTACAACCACTTTGCACTTCATGTTTAGGAGGAAAATGCCAAGTATCATCACTGCAACACGTGACTGACATGTTGTGAGCAACCCTGTTTAATGTGACTACTTGGGTATCCCTGATATCATCCCAAATACCCCTCCATGCAAATGATGCCCATCGCTCCCACTGATTCTAGTAGGGCTGAACAATTAATTGGATTTGCCAATCACAAAGGCTGTAGCTTCACTGGTCGTTGAGAGCGAAGGTGAACAGAAGCGGCAGAAACATCAGCTCAGTAATTAAACCTAAATTACTTTCAAAAATCTGTAATTAAAGTAAAATTATGAATTGAAACATATACATATATACACAGACATATTACACTCATGTGTGACTGGTGTGTCGATACAGTAAATATTCCCATCTACGGATTTCTTTCAAACGGAAATTCCCTCACCCGGAATAAAAACCTATGCATTAAAATTTTGACTATGATATTACATCAACGATCAATTCATAACAACGAAAGTTCCAGTACCCGGAACCCGGAAGCCATAGGGAAGCCCGCAGTTGCGCAAACACAAGCAAGTCCCGCTCGATACTACGGAATAACTATGTCCGCGCCACCATTTACTCTCATTGAATCCAAAATGGCGACATGTAAGTGACTCTATTAGCATGAGTTTTACTAGAATAGTGAAGGATTTTTTTATTTCGTTCACAGCTCCGAGTTTCCTGAACGCAACATAATTATAGCTGCTCTGCCATTGGCTACTACTGATCATCCTGGCCTCCCATTGGCCAAGAGGGACCTCAATATCTATGTGTGTAGATAGCTCGATCTGTGGAAGAGAGATTGGAATGCATCCGATTAGCTGCTCAGAGTAAACTGCTTGATGCTCGACGGATAGTCGAGTAAACGAACGTTTCCTGGAATGCTTCACCTGTAATCATGCTAAAAACTTTCCGCTAACTGGAGCGCTAATTAGAGAGAAGGTGAGTTCCATCGCACTAACTATTGGCATCGAGGACTTCGAAGTGTCCCGTGGCTGGCTTTAAAAGTTCATTGCACGACATCAGCTGAGCAACGCTGTCTTGGGTGCCGATCAAGGGGAGGTCACTTAGCGACAGTGAGTGAGTGGAAAGAAAAGCCACCAGATCTGCTACTAGTCTCATTTTGTAGTAAACAGTCCTAAGTTTGTTATACTGTATTTTGTTCATATACATGTACCATATACTGCAGCTTTTGTGTTATAAACAGTGTTTGGAGCATATATTTTTGCATTTCATTGCTTGTGTTGTTACACATGTATTTTGTTCACATACTTGCATGTTCATAAAGGACATGTACCATAGTCGTATCCCACATATGGAAATTCTGTTATAAGGAAGGATTGGACAGCGTAAATATGATTCCTTACTTGAGAATACTGACTGTATATTTTGAAATTGGAGCTCCGACTGGAGTACTTGGAGTACACAGTCAAAGTGTGTTTCCAAACGCACCCACGATTTGGGCTTCAAGCCTGAGGACTACTGTTCTTGGTCTGTTTTTGTCCAACACATTCCCCCCAAAACGCGACTAATACACTGGAGTGTCTTATAAAAATACAATACTATATCTAGACACATCCTAATTTATTTATTGTTTTTATAAATTAATTAAAAACAATACAAAGTTTGAAGTTACCATTTTGGCTTGGGCTCCCTCCAAATGTTCCAGTTTCTCATGTGGCCGCTTTGCAAAATTAATTGCCCAAAACAGCTATATTGTATAATAAAGCTGATATTATTTTAGAAAAAAAACTATTGAATGTTCAAAAAAAACTGAGAAAAGGAGCTTGAAAAAGCATTGTAACAATAATAAAAATGAATGAGGAATGTAGCGTGTACGAGTGCTTACATCTGAAAATTGATCAAAGTTGCCCATCTCTTCCTCTGAGTCGTTCTCCCACTCTTTCCAGTTGTTAAAGTCAACAGTGAGCCATCTCTGTTATGGAGACACACGCCATAAGGCATTTAACCTGTCTGGTGCATTTTAAACAGATGGCATCTTGAAGGCAACCAACCTGAGGCTTCTCTTTGGTCAACCTCGGCCATGACTTGCCCGGTTCTGCTTTCCGCAAAAAGCACAACACAGATCTGTCTGTGCGTTTGTGTTTGGATTCCTGCATTGAAGGACGGTGACAGTGAGGTGTTGAAAAAAATAAAAGTCAGCGTTGGTCAATGTATTTAACAATACTTACATTTTGATCGATGGCATCAAAGAGCTCTATTTCATTTTCATGTTTCACATTGTCAGTTCCCCCAACACAACTGGGAAAACACGCACAAGTACACATTCAATTACAGAACCCAGCCTCACTTGTCCTGTTTGTTTGTCTTTTAATCTGATGTCATTCATGCTGCTAGTTTCATGCATTCAACAAACGGAAACATGTTCCTCAGACCTGAGATTACACATACATATTTATTGGATATTTGAATTATTCAATGCTTTGGACTACCATCATTTCTGACAAGTGCACATAGTAGATCTGTGGATAGACAGTTAAGACCACAGTGCCTATGTGTGTGGCATAGATAGAAGCAAAACATTCAAAAACAGTTTAAAAGCAAACCCTTCAAAGACAGTTTAGCTGACACAGCCAGACTGTGCCTCGTAATTGTGATCAATACATACCTGAAAGCACATTTAGTTTTATCAAAAGTGACCTTTACTTCTTTGCTGTCCACTACGCAGAACTCTATAAAAACAGAGTCCCTCCTCTCGTACCACTTGGCACTTGCTGGATGTCTGTGAAGAAACGGCAAGGAGAGCACAGCAATTCTTTTTAATGCATTCAACAATATTTGCATGGCACTTTGTAGGAATACAAAAGAGGACACAAACGTGCAAGGCGTTCAGCATCACTGCTATGATACTCATTTTACTTTATAGAAATGTTAACTAAATTTCAAGTAAAATGCAAACATACGCCATGATAAGCAATTGAAGGGCACAGTTCAGGTGGAACAGTCCTCCATTAAAAAAAGGCAGTTATCAGGTGACGACAGTATCAAGTTACAGTGGGCCTTAGCATTAAAAGACATCCATCCTATTTATCAAACTAAACACACAATTTGGGGGTAGAATGTGCAACTCATGCGCGACGGCAGACAGCTCCTTGTGTGCTGGAAAGTCTGAATACGCTACTTGATATCCGCCACTTTACAATGCAATCAACTCGTGGCCCCATGAGCCCAATCATTAATCGTGAATAAACTCCGTATAAGCGTAAAGACCAACAACGCCACGGTCCTAACTTCGACACAGAAGTGATCCTCATTAGAACCGACTAGAAAGTGGCTGAATGGATTCAATGACGCTAGCCGAGCTAACAGTCGGGTTAGTTGAGCCATGCGGTGCACCTGACATACGCTAGAACGTCATAAAAAAGTCGTCGCAGCGTCAAAGAATCCTCGCATACGTGAGTAAGCGATAGTGGCCGAAATATTTGAAACACTGGTCTGAAAATGTCAGACAGTTAGCAAGTTAATTGTAGCTCACAGTTCACCGAGGTAAAGGCCGGCCTCCCGCCATTACCGCGGCATGTTGTCGGGAGGCTAACGTTAGCCGGCTACACAAGCACAATTTCCACTTTTTAGCCTGAGCTCTGGGAGTGTGTTTCACACACACTTACGTGTCTGGACGTGATGTCATTGTCTTTTTCAGAGACAGAACAGCCTTGTGTGAGAAAAGCGCTTTATCGCCTGCGGAGTGAAGAAACGTTTACTACACACGGGCAGGCAACGCAAAACGTCACCGCCAGACAGCCAGCGAAACTAGAGTGGATGGAGTTACGTAGTGTGGTTTTGAGAATAGCAAAGGAGGGAGCCCGTCGGCCCTAATCGACCTTTCTAGAGCTTTCAGCTGCGGAGGGTGAGGTCGACTGTCACTTTAGTCGTGAACAGGCACGTTACTTGCAATAAGTAATTATCTCATGTTACAAAATACTTGTTTCAAAAAGTAATCGAGGTACATAGTGAATAATTAAAAAGAGGGCTGACGACATTACCAAAATGTCAAGATGGAATATTGCATTGTTGCACTGAACGCAGTGTTTTTGCATTTCGTGATACGTTTTAGTGAGACAATTGGGCTTGTTCCTGACGATCCTTGTCATTCTTGCAGGGAAGCAACTACGGTGATCAAGCTCTTATTTAATTGATTTTACCTATATTTATAATATATAAAGTATTTATTTCTCATGGAACCCCCAAAGTGCCTTCACATACCCACAGCGGTACCCGGGTACGCGTACCCTCATTCGAGAACCACTGTTGGTAGATACTGTAGTTTTTAATATTCATTCAGCTATAATACACATTTTTTACACTATAGATCTAACATTATAGAAACGATTAATAATCACTTTGCTGAGTAACTAATTATTTTCACAAGGCATTGAACCATACTGTATTTATTTACTGCACCGCTAAAAGTGTCAGCAGCTTGTCCGATGATTAGGGGTAAACTCGGCTTCGTGCACTGCGTTATAACTACACAAAGTATGTGAAATTATGAATACCTGACGTGTTCACATTTCATATATATATATATATATATATATATATATCAATCATGTGTTCTCTACTTCAATAATTAATGTTGCAAGACCTCTTCGAAATGGTTCTCACGTATTCGACCTTCCTCTTTTTCTGTCCATGGGGAGCTAGATGTCTTGAGAGCTGGAGAAACGTTTGTTTTCATTTACAAGTCTTAAGTATTTTACACTGTGCCATACAATTTGTGTAGGGGCACACTGTGTCAATATAATTGAGGGGAGGATGTTTTCTGGTGTTATCGTCAGTTTTGTGATTGAGACAGTTAAACGGAATCAACACAAGAAATCCTGCTGTGCGTCGTCAATATTCTTAAACACAACGCAATCGAACACCACCCACCGGTAACATATGAACAAGTTCGCGGCGGAAAAAAAAGCTGAGGACCACTGCCCTAGATTGTCCCTTAGTGTGATTGTGAGTGTAAATGGTTATTTGTCTATGTGCGCGACACTCGTGAGGATAAGCGGTTCGGATAATTTTATGCATGGATAAAATCGTCCATGCGCTCACTTTGTGCTCGAGCCAAAGCAATAATCATATTACTTGTGGAAGCTTGGTGATGTCAGGTTGCAGTCAAAAATACTTTTTTTTTTTTTAATCTGAGTTTTGCGATATCACGTTTTGTTATCAGCCCATAAATGGATTTTATGCACAGTCAAAAGCAAAACTGAAAGTATGTTTCTGCTTCTCTCACAAAAGTGACTTATGGCCTGTGTGATTTACTTAGCTGTTCCAGTCCATCCATCCATCCATTTTCTGATCCACTTTATCCTCACAAAGGTCGCGGGTGGTGCGGGAGCCTATCCCAGCTGTCTTTGGGCAGTAGGCGGGGGACACCCTGAACCGGTTGCCAACCAATCGCAGGGCACACAGAGACGAACAACCACCCGCGCTCACACTCACACCTGGGGACAATTTTGAGTGTTCAATCAGCCTGTCAGGCATGTTTTTGGAATGTGGGAGGAAACCGGAGTACCCGGAGAAAACCCACACAGGCACGGGGAGAACATGCAAAAACTCCACACAAGAAGGCCAGAGCTGGAATCGAACCCGTACCTCTGCACTGTGAGGTCGATGCGCGAACCTCTCGATCACCGGGCCGCCCTACAATTATTCCAATCAAAGCCATTTTTTAATTCAGCAGCCAGGGGAAAAGAAGTGAAAAAATTATCTGGTCAATGTGTGGCCCTACAGTGAGTTACATAGGTCCAAAACCACCCTCATTCCCAGATTTTTTCCTCACGGGCCTTCAGGAAGCTTCCCGGTGTACACATGCATGTTCCAAGCATAAGAGGTAGCAACAACGCAAACAGTTCATATTTTGCTGGCTTTGATGACATATACTGTTTGAAGTGTGGCCAAAAAAAAAAAAAAAAGACACAAGCTGCTCATCGATACTTATATCTCTTCCCAGATTAAACATTTTTGGCATGAGGCTGTCTCACATTGTCCAAAGGTCAATTATAGGGGAGCATTTATTAGCATTTGCCAGATATAATGCATATCAAGAGTTACGGTCATAAAATACAATTTTTATTGTCCATAAAGGGCATGAAAAAATACGTCTTGATCAGTCTGGTGCCACTGAACATTTCTGAGTGGTTGAAAGTGAAAAAACATCTTCATGACTTGGTTGTCACACTTTAAAAGCAGTAAAAAAAAATATATATATTTTTAGAAAAATTTTCATTTTCAAAAAACGAGCATGTAAAAAAAAGTTCAGCTTATTTAAGGCTCCAGTTATGTCATGAAATATTCAGATTGTGTGTATATATACATATATATATATATATATATATATATATATATATAAACACACACACACACACACACACATCCAGATGCGCACACACACAATTTTCATATTAGCAAAACACTGTACTGATATCTTTAGTCTGCTTTAAAAAAAGTGAACATCTATGGATAGGTCTGATGCCACTGAACATTGAGACATTAAGTGAACAAAATCGTCAAATTACTTCACACGAACAAAGCAGCGCCATTTTTTGGAGGGAAAAAAACCCGTAAGTCTAGTGTATTCAGAAAAATGCCCATTGTCCAAAAAAAATGAGCTTGCAAAAAAAATAAAAAATAAGGCCCCATGTCATGAAATTTTTCAATTAATGCATATAGAGAATAGCTTGTTTTCTTCATAGTCCATTTTTGGACTTTTATTGTCCAGTGAAGGTCAGGGGAGAAAAACTCCCCCCACAAATGTATGGAAGGGTCTGATGCCACTGAACATTGAGTGGTTGAAAGTAAAAAATTATTCATAAATGACTGAGTTATCACACGTCAAATGCAGTGCCATTTTTTGGGACAAAATTAACACAAACGTAGTAAAAATAAAATAACACTGTGTGTGTGTGTGTGTGTGTGTGTGGGGGGGGGTTAATATTGCATTTGTGGAATATGAATTGCGCAGCAAAATTCCCTTGTCTTTATCCATCTCAAGGCGATGCCATTTTTCCACTTGTAGACTGAAAAGGACATCAGAGTGCCGAAAGGCTCAGCTTCCGAAAACATGACCAAACCCAGAAAACGTGAGCCATGATGGTCGTTAACTGAGCCTTTTGACACCTTTAGGTCACTTTGTGGCAAAATGGCAGCCACCTGAGATGGATAAAAACAGCTGAACTTTGCTGCCTTAATTGATATTCCACAAACAATATTAATCGGAATGCCATGCTTAAACCATTTGGGGTGCATCGAACATATTGTAAAGAAAATGTACATCTTCAAACAAAGGTGTTGAACCTTCAACTAACAAATTACAGTAAGTGAAGTTTTCCCCCAGAAATAAGTACAAGCAACATTTTTATTGTTAAGTCACACTTTAATTTCCATCTTGTGTATAAATTCTACAAATGAGCCAATATCGAATCAGCAACCTTTCTTCAAACGCTTCTTGCCAGGGTCCGCTTTACATTGTCAACTCCTGCAATGAAAACAAAGTTTGTCAGCAACAAGAGTTATTTGCCTCACTGGACTACTAAGGAGCATCTCTTCTCAGGACAGAAATATTGGCTTCAGTTGAACTCAGAAGAACGAAAGTCACTGTCTCAATCATCACTGCAGAATTGTTTGTTAAAATACTGCACAGAAGGTCCGGAGAACTTACCATAATAGCATTGACAATGTCATTGTTGTTGTTTTTGAGGGCACGTACAGCTTTGGCCCGTGATACGTTTGCTTGTGACATGACGAGTTCAATGTCCTTTACCTCAACTCCAGTTTCATCAACCTAAAACATCAGGATGAGTGAAATATTAAGATGGGCGAAAATGGTGGTTTGGGAATGGAGTTTTGCCCATTTGTTGTATGCTAAATTCATATTGACCTCTTCCTCTTCGCTCTCCTCCTGTACTGTTGGCGTCTGTGTATTTTCCTGGATGTTCGATACAGCTTCTCCCTGCACCTTGAATTTTTCTGCAGCAGCCAGCTGGGCTTGCTGAGAGAGATCTTCAATCTAGGTTAGAAAAGGGTAGGGGGGGGGGGGGGGATCACAAAAACAGTGATAACAGTTTGATTACTAACACCAGAGAAAAGGATGACACCACAATCAATAAAATTGTGCAATTACATAGCCACATACCTTAGCTTCACCGAAAACAATGTATGTGTCTGATGCGGGGCTCTTGTAGACATCTGGCTTCGTTATGACAAACAAGATGTTCTTGGATTTGCGAATTGTGACTCTGGTGACACCTGTTACCTGCCTGAGACCGAGTTTTGACATTGCCTATAAGAAAAAAGATATCCATGCCATTCAAGCCTTGGTATCGCCAAGTTAGATCAAACGAAACCAATTACAGCAATTTAACATTACCTTTCGCGCCTTCTTTTCACTGCGGCTTTGTTTGGCTTTACTGACGGGTTCCTCATCGAGTTCAGCAGCTGCTGCAACCTACAGCAAGCAAAGTGTTCATCCATATTAGCGTGAACTCGGAAATTGAGCGACTTAATTTAAAAAACAAAAACGACTTTTCTCAGTACAGAAGGGTTGGCTTCAATAGGCTCAGAAGAACGAAAGTCACTGTGTAAATCATCATCCAGGAGTCTTCATGTTTGGCAAATAGCAGCAAAGAGGCTTCAACCTCACCTGTGCTTGCTGAGTCTGTGTCTGCGCAGAGTCCTGTTCTTCCAGCTCAGGGACTGAGTCATCACTCTCCGATTCTGTGCCAGAACCTACAATTTTGACCAAACCAGTCATTCCACGAAATACAGTGGGGGTGGAGGGGGGGAGGGGGGGGGAGTGTGAGTGTGTGTGTGTGTGTATATACACACACACACACACACACACACACACACACACACACACACACTACAGGGTTCCCTTACTTTTCACAGGTGACACGTTCCATGATACTAAAGGTAAATTTCCGCAAAGTAGCAGTCGAGTTTTTTTGTTCTTCTATTAAGCCATTACACCCCTGCCCCCACACACACACACGGTTCCACCCTTCTAAACAGTTGTGTCTCATTACACTAATAAGTTTAACTATTAAAATGCAAAATAAAGAATACCAATGCTGTAAATCATAGTACTTCTCACATAAGTTCTTTGTCTTACATTTAGTAGAAGACTTATAGGAAGGATGGTAGGCATGGATTTACAACAAGGATTTACTGCGCCAAAAGGCACATTTAACCCACCAAGATTGTACCTTAATTGTCATTTAGCAGAGATTTCAGCGATGTGTACTGGGGGAGGAACAGCGTGCTCTGTTCACAATTTCTGAATGCAGTCCATTATCAGCAGTTCTTGCGTAAACTCTTTACTTGTACTGTTTGATACACTGGGCTCAGACACTGCATTTTTTGGGACATTGAAAAACCGAAGAGCACATTTGAACACTGTTGAGTTTCCAACCGATCTGAGCAGAGCGCTGAGAGAATATTTCTGAACACACCCACGATGAGGGAACGGGGATTTGGGGTTTGACGAGCTCTAAGAATCAGTCTTGGTTTTAGGGGGGAAAAAAATCTCTTCAGAAAATAATGCATAAAAATTGAATCGCCTGACTCAAGAGGAAAAACAAAGAAAACCCGCAAAACAGCAATGCAAACCCAAAGTAGATTAAATTGTGGTCACAAAGGAAAACTCCGATAGAGTGGAGCCCCAATAATTAAATCTCAATGTAATCATGACATAACGACAATAGTTTACATTTTTGCTTGTTCTTTAACTCCCTCAACATGTTCTACAGTGCTGCTAGTTACTTCCCCCCGAACTTGCAAAAAATGTAATGCATTTAAATACTATTCGAAAGACACAGAAAAACACATTTCAAGTACAAAAATAATCAGGAAAACGGCAAAAACTTGCTACAGTAGAACCATTCACCGACCACATCAAGGAGTCTTAAGTTTCCTGAAGAGCAACTTCATTTAAACAATATGGTGATGCTTCAGAATATTGAGAAACTCCCCATTCACAGTACAGACATTAGGACATAAAGCAACAAGAAAGAAAAAAGCAAAGAAAGAAAGGAAGAAATACCCGCATCGTTCTTGATCACAGTCTCCACCTGGGCTGGGGTTTTATCAGATGTGGGGGCAGTTTTGAGCGATGCCAAAGAATTTAATAACTCAACCTCAGATTGGACAGGGGTCGGCTTTGCAAGGGCCTCATCCAATGTCAGTTTGCAGGAAGTTGGGTCGGGGACTGGAGAATCTGCAACCACTTTTGTCTCATGAACTGGTTTTGTTTCCGCCACAGACTTGAGTTCAGCCTTCTGAGCAAGTTTCTCTGGCTCTACCACAGGTTTGTCCTGCAAGTTTGGCTTTGCAGCATTCATGGTAGTAGATTTGTCCTGAGGGACTGGATTTCCAGCCTCCCCATGGACATGTTTTTTCTGCAAGGCTGACTTGGTGGTCTCTACAGGAGAAGGTTTAGCAGCCTTCTCACGTGGGGCAGCCTGCACAGGAGTAGACTTGTCCTGTGTGGCAGGCTTGGCAGCCTCCACAGGTACATGTTTATCCTGCAAGGCTATCTTGGTGGGCTCTACAGGAGCAGGCTTGGCTGCCTTGTCTCGTGGGGCTTGCTTGGTAGCCTGCACAGAAGTGGACTTGTCCTGAGTGGCAGGCTTGGCAGCCTCCACAGGTACATGTTTATCCTGCAAGGCTGGCTTGGTGGACTCTACGGAAGCAGGCTTGGCAGCCCCTGCAGGGGCACGTTTATCCTGCAAGACTGGCTTAGTGGGCTCTACAGGAGCAGGCTTGGCAGCCTTGACTTGTGCCGCTGGCTTCGCAGCCTCCACAAGGACATGTTTATCCTGCAAGGCTAGCTTGGTGGGCTCTACGGAAGCAGGCTTAGCAGCCCCTGCAGGGGCAGGTTTATCCTGCAAGACTGGCTTCATGGGCTCTACAGTAGCAGGCTTCACAGCCTTGACTTGTGGGTCTGGCTTGGCAGCCTGCACAGGAGTGGACTTGGTATTGGACTTGTCCTGAGTGGCAGGCTTGGCAGCCTCCACAGGTACATGTTTATCCTGCAAGGCTGGCTTGGTGGACTCTACGGAAGCAGGCTCCTTGGCAGCCTCTGCAGGGGCACGTTTATCGTGGAAGACTGGCTTAGTGGGCTCTACAGGAGCAGGCTTGGCAGCCTTGACTTGTGCCGCTGGCTTCGCAGCCTCCACAAGGACATGTTTATCCTGCAAGGCTAGCTTGGTGGGCTCTACGGAAGCAGGCTTAGCAGCCCCTGCAGGGGCAGGTTTATCCTGCAAGACTGGCTTAGTGGGCTCTACAGGAGCAGGCTTCGCAGCCTTAACTTGTGGGTCTGGCTTGGCAGCCTGCACAGGAGTGGACTTGGTATTGGACTTGTCCTGAGCGGCAGGCTTGGCAGCCTCTACGAGGACATGTTTATCCTGCAAGACTGGCTTAGTGGGCTCTACAGGAGCAGGCTTGGCAGCCTTGACTTGTGGGTCTGGCTTGGCAGCCTGTACAGGAGTGGACTTGTCCTGAGTGGCAGGCTTCGCAGCCACCGCAGGGGCATTTTTATCATGCAATGCTGGCTTGGTGGGTTCTACAGAAGCAGGCTTGGCAGCCGTGACTTGTGGGTCTGGCTTGGCAGCCTGCACAGGATTGGACTTGGTATTGGACTTGTCCTGAGCGGCAGGCTTGGCAGCCTCTACGAGGACATGTTTATCCTGCAAGACTGGCTTAGTGGGCTCTACAGGAGCAGGCTTGGCAGCCTTGACTTGTGGGTCTGGCTTGGCAGCCTGCACAGGATTGGACTTGGTATTGGACTTGTCCTGAGCGGCAGGCTTGGCAGCCTCTACGAGGACATGTTTATCCTGCAAGACTGGCTTAGTGGGCTCTACAGGAGCAGGCTTGGCAGCCTTGACTTGTGGGTCTGGCTTGGCAGCCTGCACAGGAGTGGACTTGGTAGTGCACTTATCCTGAGTGGCAGGCTTTGCAGCCTCCACAACGACATGTTTAACCTGCAAGACTGGCTTGGTGGGCTCTACGGTAGCAGGCTTGGCAGCCTGCAGAGGAGTGGACTTGTCATGGGTGGCAGATATGGCAGCCTCAATGGGGGCATGTTTATCCTGCGAGACTGGCTTGGTGGGCTCTACAGTAGCAGGTTTTGAAGTCTTGTCTTGTGGGGATGGTTTTGCAGCCTGCACAGGGACATGCTTGTCCTGCAAGGCTGGCTTGGTGGCCTCAATGGGAGCAGGTTTGGCAGCCTTGTCTTGTGAGGCTGGCTTGGCAGCCTGGACAGTAGTGGACTTGGTCATGGACCTGTCCGTCGTGGCAGGCTTGGCAGCCTGTGATGGGACTTGCTTGGTGGCCTCAACGGGAGCAGGCTTGGCAGCCTTACCTTGTGGGACTGACTTGGCAGCCTGCATGGGCTTAGGCTTATCCTGTGTGGTTGGCTTGGTAACTGACTCAGGAACAAGCTGTTCCTGCAAGGGTGGCTTGTCAGCCTCAATCGAAGCAGGTTTGACATCCTTGTCTTGTGGAACTGTCTTGGCAGCATCGACAGGAACAGGCTGCACAGGAGCAGATTTGATCTGATGGGCTGACTTAGCCTGTATAGCTGGTTTTGCCACCTCCACAGGAGCAGGTTTGCCCTGGGTGGGTGGCTTTGTCTCCAAATTGTTGGGGTTGGCCTTGGTTTGAAATGGTGTTTTGGTCTCACCAGTGACAATTGAAGCTTTAGGTTTTTTAACTTGAGCAGTTTTTTCAGCAGGCATAGTCTTTGGCTCTAAATCAGTCTTGATTTCTTCCACAGATAGATGCTTAGATTTCAATTCAATTTTAGATACATCTAAAGGGCCAGTAGGACTACTTTGATTTAACATTTTGCTTGGCTTTGTAGGTGGGATGAGTGGTGGGAGATCATCATCAGCAGGAAAAGAAGCAGAGGTCAACAAAGTTACTTGAGAAGATTTGGAAGGGCTAGAAGCAAGAAAATCTGAAGCTGCCACAGCAGATTTTGGGAGAACTTTAGCTGCTGGGGTTCCAACAGGTTTTGCAGCAGATGTAGATTTTTGTTTTGGCTCAGTTGGGGCAGGTCTCACATCAACAATTTGTTTGGTATCAACTGATTTTGTACTTTGTTCGATGACCGTGACATCCTGGGTGAGAGGTTGAGGCATAAAGGCCTCTATTTTCTTGGCTTTATCTTGTTTGCCAGCCTTCACAACTTTTGGAGCAAAACGAGTACCGTGATTAGCTGATGGTGAGGAAGCTAAGGGGGATGGAACCGGTGACAAGGGGGTTGAGGAAGGAGTGGATTTTGGTGAGGTGGGAGACGAGGATGAGGCAGACATAGAGGAGCGTTTCCTTCTGCCAGGAACGGCCTTTGGGGCAGAAGGACCCTGAGCACTTTTAGCATCTTTGCCTTTGGGCTTAACCGGGCCAGAAGCTGTCTGGGGTTGCTGGGCGGAAGCTGGGGCAGGAGTTGGTGCTGAACAAAAACAGATTCTTTAATTTCTTCTTCAACAGGGACATGGAACTCCTTCCCATGCGGGTTAGACGGTCAAAACAAGACGCAATCATATTTTTAAGGTTAAAGTAGTGACACTTGTTTGGTACAAACCACAACTCAAAATGCAGAGCTTATTGAAATTCCACACAGAAAACTCGGTCAGGGGGTGCTTTAACCATGAGTCAGACTAATTTAAAATTTCCAACTCGTAAGATTCCTAGCAGAGCTGCTGAATTTGAGCTAGAACAGACATGGTCAAAAAATACCATTTGAAGCAGATGAGAGGCGCATCTTGATGGTATGCACAGACATCAAGCTCTTCTATAATAAAGAATAGGTTGTATGGTACTTAAGCAAAGCTTATTATTTTTATATTATTGCATATACATTTGCAGTGACAAGAAAAGCAGCTGCCATCCGAAATGGTCCTACACACACTGTACGTGATCACTAATGTAGCTATGGTGTGCAGTATGAGCGTGTAAGAACTGAATGTTAAATTGATATTGAATATCGGGCAAACTTTTAGCCGCTTGCATTAAGAAATGTAGGTGATAGCAGCGTTTGTGAAGCCCCGCCATCGTTTATTTGCTTTGTCAATGGTACCATGTGTGTTTGCTCAACTTGGCGAGGGTTTCATAAGTGTGTTCTCAGCTTGAATGATCTTTTCTTTCGCAGTAGTCATGTTGGAGTTGCCCCGTTCTTGGTTGAAAAGAAGCGTTGGCGAATTGCTCTTCACGCTGACTCTTTTTCAGCACATCTTACAATGTTATTTTGACCAACATCAGTCTTGTCAAACCCTGAATCGGTTCCAGGCTAGGGACTTGGGCTTGCTATTAAATGACTCACTGAAACGGGACACTCCTCCATCTATGAAACAAAAGTTGTGTTCCCCCAGCTGAGTAATGTGTCAGAAACCTGCCCACTGATTCGCAAAATAAAGACTGAAGACTTCCCCTTCCCTTGCCGTCTATGCACGCTGATTCGCCAAATGAGGATTTTATCACTCCCTCCTAATTTCAAGCCAATCAATGGATATGAACAGGTCTGTTTTTGAGAGTGTTAATACTCGATCGTTTAAAATTGCACATCGAGACGATAATATCGAGGACGTTACATATCGCCCATACCTATACCGTACTGACATAACAGCCATATCAATACAATCGAATTTGTGTCTAATACCAGTGTGATGAGTATGGGCCTGCAACCATCATGACATAATGCATGGTACTTCTAAGTTTTGCCCAGTGTAGGCACCACCAGTTGGCACTGAGTACTGTAAATAGCAATATTTTGATTGATATGGGTGAATAATGGGGCATAGGTGGTCAGAGAGGACTGAAGAATAAAATGGGTCATGTACAAAAACAGATGAGGGTTTCAGTGAAGTCATTTGAAGGAAATGTTTCCTGTTGGTGTTTTCATTTTAGTTTGAGTTCATTAAGTTTGAGTTCAATTAGTTCGCACGTGATTCACGGCAAAAATAACGCTCGGTGGCAAGTTGTCCGTTATGGCAAAATCACCGCTGCCTAAAATGTAAAAAGGGTGAGCTGAAACAAATGAAAACTTGTGGATAAAACGCCACATGCTATTATACTGAAAGCCTCATTAAGTTTTCCTTTAGTTGTGAAAAAGTTTGAGTAAGCAAACAACACACACAACATGCCATTTAAAACAAAGTTGTCCACGCAGAACACCACAGGACCTGGAATTAATAGATGGGTTCGACCTTTTCTGCATTGCCTGTAGACACATTGAAAGGCTAGCCCCACTAAGAAAATGTTATTCGCCATTCGTCATGCCTCATCGTTGTGTCATTGTTGGCTGTAATAGTCGGGTTTCTTTAGACTCCTGATAATCTTTACAAACCAGGGATTTGACGCCCACCCAAAAGAAAAGTGATCAGTCACCGGGAGCTATGCTGTTGCTATGGGCGCAAGCTACAAATATCATCGTCCGTTAGAGCATTCTGGAGGGAGCAATTGACATAAACGCAGACATGCTGTTGTTTCCCATATCTTCATTAACAGTTATCATACAAGAGGAGAAGTATACAACACACTAGGCTGCTCTGTGTGTTAGGTTTATAACTTACCATAACATCAGTGCTAATTTTGATTAGCACTGATGCAGTACTTTTACTGCATGATAGCATTTAGCTAGCGGACATTAGTTTGTTTAATCAATTGTTTTACACGCCAGTTTGGCATGGAACTATAGCCAGGAGTGACAAATGAACAACTTCAAGTATACTTTGCCTCTTCTTGTCAAAGTGGTTGTCAAGGGCTCTACCATAAAAGATAGTCTTGAAGCACATTAGATGAGAACAAGTTCATTTGTCTCCTACATAGCAGGAACACTCGAAAACTGACTTTGAATGACTACTACGGTACGCCTATTGTGCACAGGCTTGTGTGTCTATATAATAAATGGCAAGTCTTGCTGGGCAGTCCTTACTTTCGAGTCGTCAATCAATTCTTTCTTAAGTTTATAAGGATCCAAATCTCCAATTAAACACACATATTGCGCCCTTGCTTGACTCCCAAAAGGCTCTGTGTACTTCTCTACCACTTCAGATTGTAAAAGTCCGCAAAAAACTTCTAGTCGAGTAAACTAATGTAGATATTTACGATTTAACATTGTACTGTACCCGCGTCCGCAATAAGGCGTGACAGCCTACCCCTATGGTTGAACACGTGATCGTAAATTACATTGCTATTTTTAGCACAAAGGTCGAATCCCTCTATACGAGGGGATCCTGGGTTACTCAGTGGAGCTAAGGCCGCAACAAATGTGCAACATATAGCAGGTGACAGCCAAAATGACCATCACCTGCTACAAGTACACCCAATACAAACCACTCATCTTACATCACATCAGCCCCTCAAAAGAAATGCCCCAATTTAGGTCATTCACAAGCACCAACGAGTACAGTACCAGACCCCTCGATTGCTATTTTTGAATAACGGCATTTCTGAAGACATGCTTGCTTAAGACAATATATACGAACCAGTCTCCACTTGTGGCTGCTGCATCTCCTGCTCCGTCACTGGGACTGTTTCTGTTGCTTCGCCTGGCATGATTGCTAACAAAAGAAGCAACGGTTACCTCATGGTGGGGAAAACACGTGCGATACACAAAATCGTGTGGATATTAGAATAACCTTCTTATTTATGAAAATAGTTTTGCATGTTCTACGAATGACGACTCGCTGTTACTAATACTTATCGGACCAGTGTGGCAAGCCATGCTTCAGCTAAGTTAGCTCCCTTACCTATGTTAGGCTATAAACAACTCATTTCATAAAACTTGGAATGCTGGTGACGAGACCAATATTTCATTTTGACCTGAAAAAAACCGTCGACCACGAGCAAGTAGTTGTCAAACCATGAAAGCCTTGAACAGTTCTTAATGTACTCATGCGGGCCTGGAATGCTGCACGTAAACTTCAGAGCCAATATGATCCCCCATTTTGACGAGCAACTAGTTGTCAGCCCATGAAAGCCTTCAACAGTTCTGTAACTACTCATGCGGCCATGGAAGGCTGCACGTGAACTTCAGAGACAACATGTTCCCCCATTTTGAGCCGTTAAGGCAGCAGTACGGAGGCGCACAGAATACCGAGAAGCCTGAGAGAAGATGGGGAAATGGCCTTACTGACTAAAAACTCTACTTTGAGTTAACGTTTGAGACCGTTGACGGAAGATGTAATCTTTAGAAAAGGGAATGGATGGCATTAGATTCTCAACGGAGATACTCACCAACTCAGGATGTTATATCCAAGATGGCTGCGAGAGAGAACCTGTGACCTCAGTTGTAGACGGATATCCGGTTTGGAAAGCAAAATTCCCTTTCCGGGTTACTGTCGCCCAAAAACTGACTGACTAATTATGAAAATGATATCTTCATTATCTTCCCATACTTTCTTTCAAAACACACACACACACACACACACACACAGGATATACAGTAGTTGTATCTAAAGCATCCTGGCATGATTGCTAACAAAAGAAGCAACGGTTACCTCATGGTGGGGAAAACACGTGCGATACACAAAATCGTGTGGATATTAGAATAACCTTCTTATTTATGAAAATAGTTTTGCATGTTCTACGAATGACGACTCGCTGTTACTAATACTTATCGGACCAGTGTGGCAAGCCATGCTTCAGCTAAGTTAGCTCCCTTACCTATGTTAGGCTATAAACAACTCATTTCATAAAACTTGGAATGCTGGTGACGAGACCAATATTTCATTTTGACCTGAAAAAAACCGTCGACCACGAGCAAGTAGTTGTCAAACCATGAAAGCCTTGAACAGTTCTTAATGTACTCATGCGGGCCTGGAATGCTGCACGTAAACTTCAGAGCCAATATGATCCCCCATTTTGACGAGCAACTAGTTGTCAGCCCATGAAAGCCTTCAACAGTTCTGTAACTACTCATGCGGCCATGGAAGGCTGCACGTGAACTTCAGAGACAACATGTTCCCCCATTTTGAGCCGTTAAGGCAGCAGTACGGAGGCGCACAGAATACCGAGAAGCCTGAGAGAAGATGGGGAAATGGCCTTACTGACTAAAAACTCTACTTTGAGTTAACGTTTGAGACCGTTGACGGAAGATGTAATCTTTAGAAAAGGGAATGGATGGCATTAGATTCTCAACGGAGATACTCACCAACTCAGGATGTTATATCCAAGATGGCTGCGAGAGAGAACCTGTGACCTCAGTTGTAGACGGATATCCGGTTTGGAAAGCAAAATTCCCTTTCCGGGTTACTGTCGCCCAAAAACTGACTGACTAATTATGAAAATGATATCTTCATTATCTTCCCATACTTTCTTTCAAAACACACACACACACACACACACACACAGGATATACAGTAGTTGTATCTAAAGCATTTAAACTCTTGTAGGTGTTACATAAATATTTTACTCTGAATGCAGGAAAGTCGGTAAACAAGATTAATTCAGTGTACAAAAAATTAGTGAAAGCTGTACCGATGCATATTGTAAAACAAGTGACACTAAACACTTCACACGGGTAATCCAAGTAAATTAAATGAAATTAAATAAACAGGTGTTGCGCCAGTTCTAAGGGAACATGCACACTTGTGCAACCATAGTATTTCAGTTGCTTGATTTCATTTCCCCTCTCAAAAATGTATTTTTTGTTTACAAGTTGCACAGGTTATTCTAACATACATGGTGACAAAGGTTTTTAAACATGCCATTTGAACAGAGGTGTACAAGTTGAGATCCACTGTACATATTGTAGGTAAATAAACCCCCATGATTTTTATGATTCATCACGTGACCAATTTCAATATACTCCTCACATTATGGCTGTCCCTATACTTCATCTCATATAATTTACAAAAGCGTGATTAGTTTTAGCAGCTACAATGTAATTATTCTGACAAAGTTTTCAGGTAAGCTTTCATGTTCAAAAACATCAGGCTTCAAATGTCCTTTCTTTTGTCATGCAACTAAATGTTTTCAACACTGACGGAATTATACAAATTACTGTACAAGAACTCAAGCAGCATAATGGTCAAGACAAAATAATTTTGAAGGTTTAATTGGGAATTTATAGTTCAGGATATCAACGCAGAATCATGACGTCATGGTTTATCAGAGAAATGGCAACGTTACAGAAGCTCCCAATGAATATGGTATCAATTGTCAGCTCAAAATTCCTTTTGAAGATCTGAAAGGGAAAACAATGGCAAATTCATGATTTTCATACAATATTAAACATTGATGATTTTAGCAAACAACACATACCACTCTTTCTGAGAAGTTCGCCTTTCCATGACTGAGAGACTCCATCCAAAAACGCATCAAAATATTTGATGTATTTTGCCAGACTGGTTCTTTTGTAATCTGTGAAAAAGATCAGCGTTGAGTGTGCCATTGTTTGGTGTTACTTTTAGATTACTGTCAGATGCCAGAAAATACAAATAAGGAAAACATGTTTTTCTACATATTTCAAGGGCATTTTTTATTTGCAACATAAGAAAAAAATAATTAATTTCACACAATCAACAGCATTCTTAATGATCAATTAATCACCCGTTTGATTTCCAACCCTTTTCTGCAACGTTTTTTCGACACATTTAATCTGTTATATTCAATCTTTGAATAAATATTAGCAAAATAGATTCCACATAATTAATAATCTGCATCAAAAAGCTAATTCTATGTCAATATTGATTTGAGAAATGAGTGACAGAAGGAGCAAACTCATGTCACCTCTGATCTTCCTCTTCTCTGCAGCTTCTCCCTCAATTTCCTTGACCTCTGCATTTTCATCTTCCTTCTCACCCACCTTGACACGATCCAACTCATTGCAGATCAAGCTACAAAAAGATTTCAAAATGTTCTATATTGGATATTGTATCAATAGTGGACACAACCTGAGATATGAAATTGTTGCTGACCTGATTGTAGGTACGTTGAAGGGATCAAACGTATCAAGTTCTGTGAGGTCCATGGGAACCGAGATGCGCCCTGATAAAAACAAAACAAACAAAAAAACAAAAACAAACAACCCCCCCAAAAAAAACAAAGAGATGTAGTCACATTAGGACAACTCATCATCATAAGCGGCAACTTCTTCACATTTACCTGTTTTAGGATGGACACTGAAGGGGCTCTTCAGCAAATGGTTCACACCTTTACTGACATTGACATCGAGTCGTGGGTAACAATACTGCAACATGATTTCTTTCTCAAAGTGCTGGCCCTTCTTGGCAGTCGCCTTGGTAGATGAAGCATGTCAGTAATCTTCTTCTCAAGAAAAGCGCCATTATTTAAAACAAAGAGAAGCACCAACCTGTTTCCTGCTGGCTTGTTCCACGATGAGTTGCCACCTATTCTCTGGATTCCTTTCATTTTTGAATTCCTGTTGCAACTCTTTTCGAACATGTATAGCCGAGTTAAGTCATTTTCACAAGCAAATATTGAAAACAAAGCTACAGATTAGACACACTGAGTGAGAAGGATATCTTCAGGCACAAGAGCCAGCACTTGCTCTACAGACTCCTTGCGGCCCAGTATGTCCTGTTGCTGCAGCGCATACGTGGAAAAGTATCCCTCCACAACTTTCAGAGATTCTCTGTTGAAAGTACAAATACAGACTCAGGCAAACAAGTGTTGAGGTAAAGGAAAACATCAAAAGAGCATAGCCATACTGAATAAAAGGATGAACTGGCTCCGTCAGCACCACTTTCTTCACAGTCTCCTCACCACCCTGTCAAATGAGCAACCAGATGTAAAAATTGACTTCGATTTTAGGTGGACTCTTACGACACAAGCAAGTGTTCAAATCTGAGGCTGCTTGTCTTGCAATTCTAATTCAGGAACATCGTTGGCAAGTTACTTTTAAAATGTAATAGATTTCATATTACTAGTCACCTGGCATTTGAAAGTAAGACGTTTCTTTACAATATTACCGTCTGTGTAGAGCAAACTACAACCCGGAGGCCCGCCGTCCAATTTTTTTTTTTTTTTTTTTTTTTTTTTTAGTAGCCCACGGCATATATTAAAAATAACTTTTGACATGACCGGCAATGATATTAAAAAAAAAAAAAAAAGTATTAGGCATTAGAAGTGTAGCTGTTGAAAAATTAGGTCAATATGAGTTATGGAAACTACCACTGCTCCTACTTTTCTATACATGCAAAGACATACAGCTAAAATGGTAAGAGAATTTCTCTTCATAACACTATGAAGATCATAGTTAATTAATTTCTCACAAACAAAAACTTTGTCATTCACTTTTTGCTTATTGTCATGGTCCAATTTGTGAGCATATCACAATCTCCTCAAGCATGGTCAGCTAGCTACACAATACTCTTGTCATGGTTCTGAATGTGGAGATGGGACTCAGATGCTGCTCTGTGGAGGGGTGGCCCTATTCTTGTGGGATACAGGGATGCAGCCCACACCCAAAATATTACAAAAAAAAACAAAACTCACTTGCCTTGTTACCTTAAACAAAAGACCCCGATGAAGCAGTTCTTTTCCCGTAAATAACTGCATGATGTAAACAATATACAATTTAACAGTTTAACTGCTTGATTGATTGATTGATTGGTTTTATCATGTTTACAAAGTTAAATTAAAAATTAAAAATTCTAAGTGGTCCTTGCATCTGTACATGACCCTTGGAGGAAGGAGTTTGGAAACCCTTGACATAGAGTAAGAGGTTACTCATTATTGTGAAGTTACTTTTTAGTTCTCAGTTAATTGTAATTCCTCATATTGTGGTGGGGGCACAAAATTACAATCTCTAGAGGTCTATCTTGCATCTGCAAACAGTGGTGACCATGAATAGCTGAATTAAAATTGGATTATTTCACTAAAATAAATAATTAGGTTAGGTTAGACTGCACTATTAAATATTGATTTACCATAGAATTATGGCTTCACTTGTGACCGCTGGAACTGAAATGCATGACTGAACTGAGTAACTGGAATAATACTGCTAAAATATACAGTGCAAAGCATTTTATTCCTCTGTTACCGCCTAAACGTAATATATCACTGTAACGCATTACCCCCAAGACTCTTTAGGAAGCCTTGAAGCGCGTTTACCTTGACCAAACTGAGGTATTCTGCCACTGCGGATCGAGCGGATACCGAAAGGGTCCTGGCAGCTTCATCACACACCCAACAATGAAACCCTCTTCGGCCAGAATAAACCCACAGGAGGTACTGGAAACCAAAGTCATCTAGAAAATTGCATAAACAAAATATTACATCCAAGCCAATACTAGAAACATATTAACAAACAGTGACATACCTCGAAGAGCTCTGTCCAGGATTTGTATTGCGATGGTCATTAGAGTCCAGCACTTGGAACAAATGTCTGCAGCACTGTAATCAAAATATGAGGTCGAATCGAAGGTCAGTAAGTATGAGTCAGTCCCTAACCAATGGGAGTATAATACATGGTTGCTTGAATGACCTGCAACAGCTTCTGACGTCATCATAATCGGTCATGTCTATATCAAACACAAGCTCCTTTTCCAGCGCTTGGAAGGTTCCGGACTTTACCGTGTTATGTTGATTGGGCTGTGAGCAAAAACCAACAGACAATCGTTACAGTAATGTGACAGACTGACCTGCTGGGTTGCGCCACCATACTCTGTGACTGTAGACTGCTCCAATGTCAATTTTGTAAGGGTTCGTCTTCTGGATTTCCTTCTCCAACTCGTTCTGCGAGGTAAAAGACTGGTAGCGGACGTAGATGTCGTCTTTGAGGGTGAAGGAGAACTCTCGGTTCTGGAAATAGTTTTTCTGCACTGATTTTGCAAATGAAAAAAAATACATGTGTCACTCCATTTTCACCTTCATAAACTGAAACCTGGACATGGTAATGATATGAACGGGCATGAACAACAACAACAACAAAGGCTACTTTGGCGCTCACCTCCTCCATAACTGAGCCAGCGGTAGTACTGTGAAAAAGGAAACAGCCGTCGGTAGTAAAGCGGTAGCAAATCAGGTAGACTCGCTGGGTCGTAATCTGAAGACGATGACGACGCTGACGGCATTTCACAAGATATTCAGGGAACAGTAACACCGTTTATCTGGGATGAAAATATCGAAGTGACTCGCATCACCCCAAATCTAAAGACTCGAAGAGTTGTTTTGCGTCGAAGACAGCGCGGGAAAATGCTGCAGTCATCGCACAGAGCCAATGACAAAAGAGCCAGGTGATGACGTAACCGAAAGTCGAAAATGCGATCTCATAAAATGGATGAAAATGGAGACAGAATGGGATTATAAAATATGACTTAACTGTACTATCACAAGACCATAAATATATACTTTATACTTCAACTGCCAGTACTCTGCTTTGAGATCGAAGATCTTCATCATGTATCAGCGAAGTGCATTGTGGGTAGGGAAAGATTTACTCTATGGGAAGTGTAGTCATAGATATAATGCACTCGTCAGCTGCATGAGCGAGAAAAACCGCCATGCTGATATGTCGGCCATGTTGGCAGGGGCGACTTTCTCGTTCAAGCCTTATGCATTGACATTGAAGATAGGTCGTAACCAACTCATTTCCTAACTGAATTGAAAAATATTTACTTTTTTGACATTTTTGACAAAAGTGTACTTTCTATATACATTGAAAAAAACCCACACTCAGAGGTAATGTAGTCTACAAAGGGTATTCTTTCAGTTCTCTTGTTGTACTAGTACGGAGTTGTACACAGGGTATGCAGCATTGTATCCGGCATCCTTATTCTTTCAGTTTTCTTTCAGCCCACATAAATGTTTATCGCTGACGACTTTGTCCCTCCTTATTGTACTTCAACGCAGGCACCCAACTCAAAGTTGCCGTGTTGTATTCCATCCGTCCATCCATTTTCCGATCTGCTTTATCCTTACAAGGATCACGGCGGGGTGCTGGAGCCCATCCCAGCCGTCTTCGGGCAGTAGGTGGGGGACACCCTGAACCGGTTGCCAGCCAATCGCAGGGCACACAGAGACGAACAAGCATCAGCACTCACACTCACACCTAGGGACAATTTCGAGTGTTCAATCAGCCTGCCATGCATGTTTGTGGAATGTAGGAGGAAACCAGAGTACCTGGAGAAAACTCACGCAGGCTTGGCGAGAACATGCAAACTCCACACAGGAAGGCCGGAGCCGGGATCGAACCCACGACCTCTGTACTGTGAGGTCAACGCGCTAACCACTGGATCACCGGATGCGTGTTGCATAACATGCATGTTATCTGTAATATCTGTAATCATGCGACCTTTTGAAACAGGAATCACATTTTAGGATAAAAGTTGCTGTACCCAATACTTATTTTACCTTACAATAAAACTACAATAAATTTTGAAAGGTTGTAGAGGTCCATACAGGGTCGTTCCATGTGTTGAAAGTAAAGGACGTCCACCTGTAGAGGGCAGAAGAATCCTATATACCGGTATTAAATAATCTATCGAGTTGAAACGCACTAAAACAATTCGTGTGTAGAGTAAATGTACTGATAGTCTCAAACGTGATAAAGCAAATAAATTAAAATTAGACATTAGAGTATTAAAAAGGAAAAAGAACATTGGATATGTAATAAATCAACCAAAAAATTCTCCCCCAGTTTAAAAAAACATCACAGCTATTTGTAGCCTTTGATGCAGGATCCAGATGCACACAAAAGTCTTTTTTTTGGGGGGGAGGCTTAACTTGTTAAATACTGTGGATGGATGAGCCTCTACTCTCAGGTTACTATATTTATTTTTTCTGCGATAATGACTGCTCACCATTGGTCTCACTACAGCCTTTTAAACCCTGTTAAATGTGCTTCTTTTCTCAATTTTTTGGTTAGATAAAGGATATAACGATTGGTTCTTTTTTTCCCGTAATGTATGCAACTAAAACATGTATAGAAGATTTTTTTTTTTTTAAAGCTATAAAATCAATGATCCATACAAGTTGACCACCATTTTCCTTTGCAAGATAGTGAAAGTACAACATGTCAGAAAGGTTAACATTTGCATGTGGGATCTTTTCAACCAAATGCTTGAATACTTTTTGCTGCAAGGCCGAAGGATGTGGTAACTTCTGTGTTTAGAATTTTTTTGAATTTGGCTTTCAGTCAATAAATACCACATTTCGGTTTTTCATCATATGTCACCTTAAGATACTATTAGCATATAATATGTGACCTCTGTCATTATTGTTTGACTTTAACTCCTCATGTCTGTAGCACGAGCACATACAAATATCCACACACAGTACTGGACAAATGTCTATGACCACAAATGCCCAATTACATGCATTAGTAATTACCACATATGAATCCTTTTTCTGTAATGGGTAATAAACCATAGGATGAATGTATAAAAGGCATTTTAATGCTAACCTATACAAATGTCATTGATGATTTAAAATAATATATATTTTAATTTACTGTTTCACAAGAAACGTGTTTGAAAGGTTCAACATTAGGTTTACATTCATTCATTACATTCTGGCTTCTTAGAAAGCCAAGTAAGCTGACTCAGATTTACTTCCCAAAAAGTTGAATTCATTTTGAATTTCTTGGTTGTTGTTCATAATCATTGAGAGCTCACTGAAATGAAAAGAGAGACCAAAAAAAGCCCTTCATGGGGCTTGATGGTCTCTATGTGACAGGCAGTGTAATCAATTTCTTAAATTCTCCACACGTGTCAATGTCAGCATGTTATAAAGCATGTTATGCAAGGCAAAGTACCACTCAATTGTGTTTGATAACTGTAGGTCACAGTGTCATGAACTATGAAGCAAGTCCACCAGCACCATCGGTCAACCTCACAACACACGTGTTTTAGGGACTGTTATAAAGTCTTTGGCTGACCCCTGTTGTGGCCCTTAACCAGCAAAACATTGTCAACTTGCAGGTTGCATTAGAATGAACTGTACAGTATGACATGACCCAATTCCTCACAGCCCCAGGCCATTCACTGGGGATAGAGACCTGGCTGGCCCATGAATAGTGAAAATCTACGTATATTTGATGGCCATTTAAATGCCTTAAGGGGAAAAAAGGTTTTCTGGGGGGTTAAACGAAAAGAAATTCAACAAAAAACACTGAAAAACCTCCAATACACCCTTTCCATGAAAAATGGGGTTTTGCTCCCCCAAAGAAACAAAACAAAGGAAAAATAAAAACATTCATTTTGTGCATTGAAAAATAAAATTACAAACACCGTAAGTGAATCATGGGCACTATGCTGTGATTATTCAGGGGTCCACTGCAGTAGAGGAAACAATATTTTTTATTTATTTTTGGGAATGAAGCAGCCATTCAGAGTGTGGTTGCGGGCCCCCAGTTGCCCTTCCCCGATTTATGGCATCAAAAAGCCAAGGGCTTTTGTGACAGCTGAACACTCATTCCAAATTATGTTGTGCTCAAGTCATCATGCTCTACTTCCTCTGAAAATGTTTCACATCTTGATATTCCCTGTTACTGTATATTTCAGATTGATGGAGCCATCTGTCATCGCTTTGCTTTGCATGGTGGTAGTTGTAGGACCCCAAAAAGCATGGAGGAGCAGGGTGGATTGACCAAAATGTATTTAACAAAAATACAAACAGGAGTACAATGGAAAAACACTAAGTTGAAGTACTCAAGCAAATGCCTGGAAATCACAAGGAACCAAAGTAACAAACAAAACTATGACAGAAAACAAAACATGACAGGAGAACACATATACTGTACTCACAATGACCCAACCAAGACTGACAGAACTCAGGGAACTAAATACAAGCAAAGTGAAGAGACAACGAGAAACACCTGGACAAGACACGAAGGGTTGAGGGAGCTGATTGGTTAAACACAAGGGAGACTGATAACGAGAACAGGTGGCGACAAAAAAGGGCACATTCGGGAACAAAACCAAATGTAAACACACAGAAACATAACACTTTCGGAGTAGCAAGACAACACTGGGCCGCAGTTGCTCTGTTCGAGCAGCAGTCACATCCTACTTGTTTCATAAACACGTGGCATCAGGTCACCCATATGATGATTTGGAATTAGCCGACATCCATTTCCACGTGACATATTGCACAAATTAGGCAGTACAGATTTTGTTGTTATCTGTACCACGTCGGAGCCCCTGATCTTGAATTGATATTCAATAAAGCGGGTTCTAAAACTATGAGCATTCCTTATTGTGCCACCTACTTGTGATCAACAACAATACAATAAAACAGGCAATTTTTGCAAGTAAGCCACCAAATATGAAGTGTAATTCACTTAAACTTAATTTAGTTAACGTCCGGTCCAATCCTTTTGCTCACTTGAAAAGTGGATGGCTTCATACAAAAGCTTCTCCGTTCTGAGTTATTTATCACTTGTAGATGTAATTACCATGAAATGAAAGCTGGAATTCTGAAATCGTGTCTCATATTCATATTGTGATCTGAAAGCCAAAGGTCTTCAGTATACAACAAAAATAAAGGAATTGATCTTGCCGTTCCAATGATTTTGAATGCTACTCTTAATGCAACTGTTTATAGAGCCAAATCTTGTGAATTCTGGCAATTTTCACTTCATCGCTTCATAATTTGATCTAATTTAGGATTTGCCTTCAGTGCAGTGTGCAGTTGTTCCTTGCTGAATATAAAGGAAAGATAATCCTGACCCTGAACAAACGGAGGGTCGATAAATTTCTTGCACGATACTCCTCGCGCAAGCAAGTGCGCTCGGCGCCCATTGGCTGGCGTCACGATATAAAAATCCCGCAGTGGTCCTCTTACTTTGCCACGGATCAGCTTCAGCCCGAGGAGAGACGCCGAAGCCACCATTGCGCGGATTTAGAACACGTTCAGTCTTATTTTGACGCTGCTGATTAACTATCCCATCATTGATCCCCAGCATGAAGGAGAGACGCCTCCCGCAGCCCTTTGTAGCGCGCTGCAAATTAGTGCTGGTTGGAGATGTCCAATGCGGTAAAACGGCCATGCTTCAAGTCTTGGTGAAAGACTGCTACCCGGAGGTAAGAGATTTATTTCTCCACCACGCCATCATCAGCACCAGCGACATCAGTAGCCATCAGCGTTGCCATCCGTTTTTGACGTCAATCATGGTCGGAGCAGAAACATCGATTTAAAAAAAAAATCACCGACACAGTTTGTCTCCATAATCATACACGTTGTGTTATCTCAAAACTTGGTGTATGCAAATGGAAATTTGAGGGTTAGTTGTTCTGTTTATCTCAGTCGCATCTAATGAGATTCATCAAAAATGCTTCCTTTACAAATTTAATTATGCTCCCTTTTGGTTGAAAACAGCAGAC